CAGGCTGCCCAGGGAGGTGGTTGAGTCACCGTCCCTGGAGGTGTTTAAGAGACACGTGGATGTTGCACTGGGGGGAATTCAGAGGAACTACTGCTTATATTTTTGCAGTCCGTCATCTTTTCTTCCAGCAGCTCTGTTTGCTTTTAAATAATGCTGACTTCATAGCTTCTTAATTATAGTAATAAACACATAAATATTTTTTATCTTGATGATTTTCTGTTTTTTCATCTTTGTGTCTTATTCCTTTGTTGCCAACATTTAATTTTCATGCTAGATAGTCAGTTATGTCTTCAAAGGACCATCGGTTTCAGAGTTCGTAGGTCATTGCACTGACGTTTGTTGATTAACAATGCTCTGGAAGTAGAAAAGTCCAACACAAAAAGAAAGCCAGAACTGAGAAAAATTACTCACTGAAAAAAAAAAAATCACTGTGTTTTTATTATTGGACGTACACAGTAGAAATGGGAATGGGCACAATATGTTTGTTGGGAAGAGAAGACTACAGCTTTAGACAGCAAAAATAGAATAAAAGTGGTGGTATCATCAGTTAGACCTTCTATAGAGAAGGAGAAGTTGAAATTTTGCTTAAACTCAGCTTTCCATAGGTTTGGTCACATTAATTCAAACTGTGGCTGATTAAATTTTCTATTTACTATTCCATCCTTTATAACTTCTTTTCCAGCTTCTGATGCAGAGGAAGAACTTTGCTTGAACGTAGTGTTTTTAATTGAAGTGTTCACTTATATTTTCTCTGAGTCAATAATTCTTTTTTGACTAGTTTCTTCTTGCATAAGCAGGAATACATTGTCCACATTTTGACCACACACCAATGAACGTGAAATAGGAGCCTATTGCAACTGGATATTAACTTGCATCATTTTCTCTTTTGTTTTTAATGACTTTAAATGCCGTTTTAAATAATTGTGTAAAAAACCTCAATTTAAAACAAAAAGCTCAGAGTAATTTTCAGCATCTGACTGATTGACTTCTAAATGCTGTGTAAAATGCTAAGGACAGGGTACGGCATTGCCTGAAGATGTACCAGGAATGTGTTAACAGTGTTCTTATATAGCACCACTGCATTCAGATGTTACCTTCTGAATTACTTGACTACTTTTTATCACTTTTTGCACTGTGCTCCAGTTCAGTCAATTTGACTTTTCTGACCTTGTTTTCTTCATGAGTATGACAGTACCTCTTCTTCTAATATCAGTGCATTTTTAGATATTTTCACATGCAATTAAAATAGATAATTAAGTCTACATGATAAGAAACTTCATGAATAATGTCTTTCCTTTGACTAGTTCCAGACATGCATTAGAACTAATCTCCAGATCTCAGTACCTAGTTCTGGCAGGGATGGTGTTTGGGCTGTTGCTGAGCACTGCTTGCACAGTGTCAAGGCTTTCTCTTTTTCTCAGCATCCCGGCCCTGAGTGCTGCAGGTAGGTAAAACGTGCAGAGGGGACACAGCCAGGACAGCTGACCTCGGCTGGTGTCACACTTTAAGCGGGCTGCCTCAGCCGGCAACAAAAACCACTTGGCTACTTGCTTATGGGGAGTGAGGAGCAAGAAAATGCAACAAAAAAGGCTCAGGGATTGCGATTGGGACAGGAAGGGTTAATTCATCACTTACAGTTACAAGCAATAAACAGGGAGAAAATGTAAATTTATTTTACCACCACCGTTTTATTGACTAGCTCAGAGTAGGCTAGTGGGAGGAATACATAAATAAATACCACCCAATCTTAAATACACTCACCCTCCCCCTCATAGGGACACGAGGGCAGGGGTGGAGGGTGCAGTCTGTCCGGCCATTACTCATTGCCCATGGCAGTTCTTCTTCCTCGGGCAAGAGGCCTTCTCGCAGTCTGTCCCTGGTGCCGCGTGGTGTCCCTCTCCAGGGAGGTGATCCTCTTCCTCCGAGTGAGTTCTTCCCACCAGTGTAGGACGGACCTTGGGGTCACTTTGGGTGTGTCCTCCACTCCACCTGGTTTCTTTCCCCCCTGGCAGCGGGTCCTCCGTGTGCCACTGCATCTTGGATGTTTTGCCGCTGTCGATCCCCTCAGCTTGCAGGCATCACCTTCCTGCAGTCTCACTCACCATGGGACTCCAGGGAAATGCTCTGCTCTGGTGCTTTTCTCCCCTGCTTTCATTACTGGCCACGTTGTTCTGCTTTCCTCTCACCAACACCCTCC